GAAAGGATGCAGATTCGAAGGTCGAGGGTGAAGGACAAAGGCTGTGGCGAGAGCGGTAGCGCCGATTGCCGCCACGTCTCAGTGCTGACCTCACTAGTCTCATCCCCAGACAGCCGAGCCCATTGTTGGTGACGGCGGACCGGGACGAGCATATCCGAATGTCACGCTATCCTCAGGCTTGGTCGATCGAGGGATACCTACTCGGCCACCGCAAATTTGTCGGTGCCTTACTCTGGCTACCCCATCCGACGGATCCCGAGCCTGCCCAGGGCCGGCTCCTCAGCGCCGGAGGAGACAACGCGCTTTTCGTCTGGGACCATCTCCGTGGCCTCGCCAGCCAGACCATCGACCTCTCAGGTATCGCTAACGGTCTCAAGGTCTGTCCCGCCAAACAGGCCTGGTTCTCCAAGTCCCGCACCAACAAACGTCGGCGGACTAATCCCATCGAGAAAGCCGAACCCGCGCCGACCGGATCCGAGCCTCCGAGCGCCCCTGCTATCGATCAAAACAACTCCGCCGGTCATGATCAGCATCCTGCGGCTCAAGACGTACACACAGAGTCCGCTCTCGAGCTTCAACCGATCGTCCAGAAAACCTGTGTCAACAAGATTGTTTACACTACCCCTAGCGATCACGCGGGGCCGGGATACGTGCTAGTGACTTCAGTCGGGTGAGTGATGGACTCCAAAAGAGAGCCTCCGACTCAGTCTTAATAACCAGTCCTTCTTCCATCAAGCTCCTCGACGATCGCCTACATTCCTTTGCCTCGGATCTTCGACACCAACCAGGCCACTGAGGCCGGCCAGATTACCCGCTACCTCGACCTCGGCCTGCCCGTCCTCGACCTCGCCGTTCTGTCTCCTGGCCTCGTTCTCGTCTCCCTCGACTCTTCCTTCCCCTCTGATTCCTCGTCTCCCTCCTCCTCCTTCCGGACCTTGTCTCTGACCCCTGACAAGGTACGTCATCATCACAATCTCACCTTTTTTGACTCGTTCCTTTTTTTCTGTTGACTCCATTTCGCATGTAGATTAAAGAGGTCTCGGATCCTGAGGGTTTCAATTTAGCATTCCTCAACGAATCAGGCTCTATTGAAAGTCAGCAAAGTTCTCTCTCTCTCTCTTTCTCTTTCGCTCAATAAAATGAATCGAATGTCCGGAAGAAGTAAGACCAGAAGCTCATCGCTCTCCCTCCGAAAACATCATCATAAAGGTTCGAGCGAGCTACCGATGCCGAGTCAAGAGCTCCTTTACCCAGAGCTATTACTCTTCACAAAAGACAGTCCGGGCACATCGGCTTTGGATAACAAGCCCCATGGTAGGGACGTCGGCACGGGGGGCAGGTCTGGGAAGAAGGGCGAGGGTAGACTCGTCAGCCAAGCCCGCTGCGAAATCGTCCTTGCTAAAGCCGCTATCAGTTGATACTTTCTTCCCCCCCCCCCCCTCCCTCTCTCTCTAACTGGCTTCTCCTCTTCACTACCCCTCTACCATTTGTCTTGTTTCCTTACATGTCTCCACATATACCTCAAATGATTTTGTTTTTCCCAATATACATATATCATCTATCAACTATGGTTTTTGATTCTATAACACTTTCTGGGACTCTTGATCTTGCCTTCATCATCCAAAAAAAAAAGAAGGAAAAAAGAACAACTTGAAGAAGAAAAAAGTCAATCCCAAATGTCATCCTTTTTCACTCGGCATCAAGAATAACAAGGAAGAATAGATATGTACAGCTTACTCGGTTGAGCTATTTGTAACCAAAACTGAATGATTCTCCAGTGTCTATTGCTTCCACAACAAGACCACCTAACTTGTTTCTAGAATGGATTTGAGTGAAAAATCTCAGTCAATTAACCATCAAACTGCCATGCTATGGAATAGGACAGACACACAATCCAGCAATCTTTGAGATCATAAAATTTGTATTCTCCTGATCAATCATGAGGAGCAAATCAAGTGGAGATTGTGGTCTACTAACTTGTGATTGACCGCAGCTAAGGCTCCACTGTGTAAGCCTTTGTGAGGAGACACAAGTTACACAAACCCCTGACTTGACAGAAATTCTGTAGATCAGGAAACAAATTGTCAAGCTGAGGGATGGCCACTGTTGGACTCATAGAACATAGATGGGTCCAGTCACAGTGTGGTTGAACAACTGGAAACCAAGACAGAAATAGCTTGCTTGTGAAAATCACTGTTACTTGACTCCTTGAGAATTGGACTGGTTGCTTTGTCCCAATTAAATATTTAGCCAAAGATAAAAAGTTATAAAAGTAGCCTGAGCTATCACTATATCTTGTGATGATTGTTGTTTGAGTCAGCACCAGCATTATTTGAGTGCTTTTCTCATTCCTCCAGACATAGAATAAGCCAATTCAATCTTATGGGTGCATCACAGTTGCCAAATCTTGTTCACAAGGTTATAAATGAGATCTGATGTGCCATTGAAGTCTCATCCAAAACCAATTTTCTGCTATGTGGTCCAGCCAAAACCGATTCAGATAATAAGGGTTCCAAGATTTGTGTGTCTCTGGCTCTCTTCATCCAAGGTCTAACTTTCAGTCTAAGGGCTAACTTCAACCAGTGCTTCATTCACTGTCACCATAATATTCCCAGTTTGGATGTCTGGCTGCTGATGGAGTTTCACATACATGATGATGGCATTATGTTGCTCCATTCAATGGTTTCAATCAAGAAAAGAAAGAAAGAGTAGATAGCAAATCATACTAAGAAAAAGATAATTCCCATGGGGGACATGCTTTAAGCTACACATTGATTGTTACCATTCAAGGTGGTATCCTCGAACTACCACTTGAAAGTGTAATATAGATCGGGAAATCCGTGGACTGAGCAACCTGACAAACTCCACCAGGCAAGGATGTTACAAGCTCTGCACTGGTACATCATGACCCAAATCGGGTGATTGCAGCCATCTCGGGCAGGCCGCAACCCATTACAGTCGTTCAAAGTGATGATGCGTTGAGGCTCAAGGTTTTCCAATAGAGTTGCTTCTCCGTGTTGCTCCACTGGTCCACTACACCTGCCACAGACCAAATTCCTGTAATGCGGCCTGTATTCTGGCGGAGAGAGTGAGCATCTGCTGGGCCAAGGATCGCGGGTGATATACAACCCCAAATGCATCATTTTAGAAAGCAATTTCATGGTCCAGGTGGTGTGTGCAGGGTAGGAATTACTTGTATGTAGTGAAGGTGGTGGTTGCTTTCAATATGATTTGAACTGCTTGTGGGTCCAGGAGGTGAACTTGAAGTGGGGTGATTTTACCACTATGCCAGCAAAGCATGGCTGAAGACTCATTGCTCCGACTATTTATCAAGATTTAGGAGACTTTTTGCCACCCTGGTGATTGATAACAATCATGCTAATGATTTCCTGGATAGTTGCTTTGAAAAAAAAAAAAACTTTCCCAGAAAATGGCTAGCTTGACACTAAAATTGGGTTACATGTGTCAAAGACCCTCATTTCAGATTAAATCCCTATTGTTAAGTGCCTTACCAAGCAGATGGTGGCATGAGTGAAATAGCCTTTCCACTTAGCTATGGTCTCAGAATATTTATGTGACACTGAGACTCTCCTTGCCATGCTTTCAAAATGAATGATGGGGTCTTCTACTCTGATTCAGGTTTTCTTTATCCTAGTCATGTACACCATTTCTGGTGGTATGCAGATCTGTATTCTTATTGTCTGAAAACGTGCTGCAGCACTGTCAGCCTTAGAGCCAGCCAAGCTGGCCAAAAGACTGCTTAAGTCCTCCTTTTTAGCCATCTTCCTACTGTAACCCTTTTATCTCAAGATTTTATTACATTCTGACCTCAGAAATGAATTTCTCATGTGATTTCAACCTTAGTCACCACTACACACTTTTACACTACTCTTCTCCTTCATAGACTTTGTAATATTTCACCGGACCTTCTGAAATATCAACCAAGTTGGAATTCCAACCCTCTACCACATGTACATGTTGTGATTATGTAATCCAACTCTGAAAATTCTCTCAGAGGATACTGAGTTTGCATTTTCAGGATCTTCAGACTCCAGACCAACACAGAACACCAACAACCAGACCCAGATCAAGCAAACACTTATCAACCAGAAGGACCTCACTTTTCCTACCTTTCCCACTAATCAGTGTCATTGGTATCATTAGTAAGTCTCTTCTCATAAGTTAAGCTAGCATCTTTCTGCTTGTTTCTCTTCTCTGTCTCTCTCAGTTTCCCTTCACTCCTCCTCAAACCAAAGCCCTGATCAAAGAAAGCAAGCCTTAGCTTCTATTATCTCTTCTCTTCCTGTTTGGTAGTACAACTGAAAACTACATAGGTTTCCCTTTAAAGAGCCTTGATCTTTGATCTAAAAAATTGTGGTTGACCTGATTTATCAGTGTCAATACCCATTTCAGTTTCTGTTGATTTGGAGGCGTCAGAGTTAGCTCCGCTTATAACAGCTATCCTACCAAGGAAAATAAGACTATCTGCAGCCATCCAAGAGGGACAGTAAGACTGCCATAAATTAATCTTCTTCAGAAAATAAACAAAGAACAAAAAGATTATCCTATTCTTTTCCTTCTCTTCTTTCCCTCTCTTCTACTTTTACTTGTATTTCCTTTATCTTCAGAAATACATTTAAAAGTGCCCCCCAAAAACCTTGTGTCCTGCTGTCACTATTGAGACCCAGGCTCACAAGCACATTACCATCCACTTCCAACAAAATTACAGATGCATTTCCACTCTAAGTCAAAACCCATTTTCAAAAAAGATGAAAGCATTTTTTTCACATGGCTTCTTGATTATTGTTGATGTGATAGGCAAAAATTGGCAGATGTAGTCTCTTGTAGTCTTCAAGGCCAGATGCAGACCTTTCATCTGGCATAAGTGCGGGCCATTTGAGCCACAGGATTTATGTGTGAGGTTGTGCTGAAGTTTGAAACCAGCCAAACCTCAAAAAGGGCAGCTCAGGATCTACACCAAAAATTGACAATTACTCCTACGTCCTGCTTTGAAGGCTTGAGCTTTCCACTGTGGTGTTCTAAATGGTACAGGCCCCCTCAAGGTCAAATTTCAAATTTCAACTTATCAATATCCTCAAGCCTTAAGATTTCAACAATATCACCTCAAATCCCCTCTCACTCCAACAGTATCCTTCATTATATTATTTTACTATGTTTTTGTTTCATTTTATTATTTTACTTCCTCTGATTGTTTTATCTTCATATTATTTTTCATTCATCTTTGATTTCATTTTTATTTTATCATTTTATCATTCTTTATTATCTTTTTCAAATCACCTACTCAGCAGACAGTCTTGTTTAATTTTCTTGTTCCTAAGACATCTTAGTATGTTGGTTTATTTCACTCTTGATTTTTTTTGTTTTGTTTTGTTTTGTTTTGAGTAGTGTGGTCTTGTTTTTGTTTTTTGGTTGAGTTGTGTTGTAGTTAGGGATGTGATGACATGTCACACCAGAGTCAAAGTTACGTTTGAACTGAGATGATGGGGAAGCATGGCACTCTGATCTGATCCAAGATAGACCCATCAACATCTTATTGATCCTTTTATCATTGATTCATCTGATCCTCATATTCACCTTCAAAGATCCTCAACCTCAACAACCGCCACAGAACTCAATTTCTGTTGTCTCCTCCCAGAAAACCAACCAACCCCAACACACTTTGTTCAGATCACAGCTCACTCATCCAGACCCCACTTGAAGGCAGCCCTCAAAGCACTATCCCTTCAAACAACTGCCTACCGCCTGGCACAATAGGAGTTCCACACCACAACATCATGTGCCCTGCATCCCCAAACATGGTACTGATCATTAAGTTTGAAGTCACATTCTCTATATGTATTGAGGAAGCAATGGCTACCTTTTGTTCCAAGATACAAATTGTCATCTTGTTAGTATGCAAGTCTTGTTGTATGCTTCCAATGTCTTCTAACTTTGGGACCTTTGATTTTCTTATTCTTCTGATCATGGAGTGTACACTTCCTACCAAGTTTTAATTCTTATATGCTTTGGGGCTTGGTTAATCGACTCCCAAAAGTTGGAGAGTCGACTCCCAAACCCCCAAAACCCCCGAAATTCCCCCGAATCCCCCGAGCTTTGGGAGTCGATTCCCCAAACCCATCAGCGGGTTTGGGAGTCGAATCCTCAAAGATTTTAAATAAAAAAAAACAAAACCCCCAGAGGGGGACGGAGTCGATGCCCCAAAACCCAGTGGGTTTTGGGGGTCGGCGAGCCAAAAAAAGCCCTCGATGGCCGGGATGATTCCTCCCGGCTGTCGAGAGTGTACACCCTCGACGGCCGGGAGGGTTTCTCTCGGCCGTCAAAGGTGTACATCCTCGACGGCCGGGAGGGTTTCTCTCGGCCGTTGTGGTAAATAATACTGTGTTTCTACGCAGAAAAATATAAAAATTTATTATTATCTCTTTATATATTATATATATGGTAAAAATAACATCAGAAATGGATTTCTCAGGTAAAATAACCCCTAGTCATCCACTACAACTGACCCCATATCTCTCATAGTTTAGAAGTTACACAGATTTCAACCTGTCACGGGATATCTTTTGGATTCTTTACTCTCAGTATGGCTTGTTTTGAATACTGGATGCATATTGAATATTGAATTCCTTTGTGTTG